CGGTGCGCCGCGAAGAGAGGCCCCCTCCGCCCCCGTCCGGCCTGCTCCTGTGGAGCAGTTTTTGCGGATCCACGCCCACACCCCCGAGCTCGCCTGTTGGAGCCGCGAGACGCGGTCGCATGCGCTGGCAGTCCAACGGGGGCCGGGACTCGGGAGGACGGGGCCGAGTGTGGGAACCGGGTTCCCGTGCCTCGAGAAGGACATTCCCAGAGCACGTGCGGACGCTCGTCCGCGCGCGTGAGCATCCGGCTGGACACCCGATCCCCCGGGGGAGGGGCCGCACCGCGGCACGCGCGCCCATGCCCATCCCAGCCACAAGCGCCCGGGGGGTGGCCTGCCTGGGCACCGCATGCGCACCCGTGGGCAGGACGCCGCGCCCTTGTGTTTTCCTGTGCGCTGCCCCTCCCCCTGCCCCCGGTCCCCCACATGGCACCCCGCGCCAGGCGGCCATGGGGGATTCCGCCCCCGACCCCCCTTGCGCACACACACACACACACACACACACACACACACACACACACACACACACACACACACACACGCACACACAGCTGGCGCTCTGAGCGAGATTGTTTCCCTCCGTTCGCCACGCCTCTGGCCATGGGTCGCAGAGGGGGATCTCTTTTGGCGCCCCGGCGCACGTACCCACGGCCCCGACCGCCCAGACACCCCCCTCCCCAACAAGCAGCCCCTGCTGCATTCCCCCCCCCCTCACCTCCCACACCTTCCCCCCCCCCTCTTCTCTCCGCCCCCGCCAGCAGCAGCCCTCGCCGCGCTCCTCCTTCTCTCCCTCCCCCTCCCCCCTCCTCCCCTCCCCCTTCGTCAACCCGCCGGCTCCATCCAGGCCGCCAGCGACCCTCGCCAGTCATGTCTTCGGGAGACGTGGACAAGAAGCGCAAGCGCGGCAACAACAAGGCCTCCTGGCGCAATGCCGACTCGTCGGCCTTCGACGACATGATCGCCAAGAAGCGCAAGGAGGACCACGCCGGGTACGTCCCCCCCTCCCCCCCTCGCACGCGACCTTCTCCCGGCCCTCCTCGCCCCCTGTGCTGACCCCACCCGACGCCCTCCCCTCTTCCCTCCCTCCCCCCTCCCCCTCTTCCCTCCCTCCCTCCCCCAGTGGCAATGTCACCGAGATGGACGACGATGCGCTATTCAGCATCGACACGGCCGGCGTGTCGACGGCGCCGAGCTCCAACCGTGCCCGCGCGCGCGCCGGGCGCCCGATCAAGATCGACCAGATCCTGGCCCCCAACCCCAACATCAAGACCCACGTGCCGCAGGGCCCGATTTCCAAGACGGCCATCGCCGACATGGTCATCGTCGAGCGCATGGTCAAGGCGGTCAAGACTGCGGCGCCTCCTCCGGCCCCGGCACCCCGGAATCTGGACCTTTGGGGCGCCGAGACCGTCGACAAGACCAAGGTTCTGGGGCCGCACTCGGGTGGCATCCGGCCGCCGCGTCGTGCCCACGAGCCGGCTCTCCACCTGCCGTCCAGCGGCCAGTCGTACAACCCCTCCAAGGAGGCGCATCAGGTGCGTGCTTGCCTGTGCCCTGTGGCTGCATTGGCGGGGGG